CTGTCTCAAAGGCTTAATTAATTTAAACTTAATTGACTTAGCATCCCATGTTTGTCAGTTTTCCAACAAAATGATTAAACATAGTGGCACAGCAGGTCGATTTAGAGCCTTATAGATTCAGGATCTGAGCATTTTGTGTGGGATTTTGTATGTTCTCACCCAGTCCCTCCAGGTCTCCACCAGGCTCTCCGGTTTCTTCCTACCTCTCAAAAACCCAGAAAGTTCTATTCTACGGCTATTCTAAATTGTTAGAAGATTTTTGTGTGTGCGCTCTATGATAGATTGGCTCCAGATCAGCCGTGACTTTCATCTTGGTCGGAGTCACGGTGGATCCAGAGTCCATCCTGGGAACACTGGGCGCGAGGCAGAGATAGACAGCAGTCCATTACAGGGCACCATTCACACACACACACACACACTCATTCACACCTAAGGGCAATTTAGATTTGTCAATCCAACTACTGGCATGTTTTTGGGAGGTGAGAGGAAGCTAGAGAAACCTGAGGAAACCCATACAGACACAGGACAGCATGCAAAAACGTCACGTAGACAGTAACCTGAGATCAGGATGAGACCTGGGACCCTGAAGCTGTGAAGCGAATACGATACACCACAGTGCCACCCAGAGTTATCAAAATACTATTTTTTTAAAAAAAAATTCTGATTCTTTCTTGGCAAAAATATATGAAATCATTTGGATCTACTGTGTTGACTGAAAGAATGCATTTTACAATTTTAAATAATGGCATTTGCCTGTAAAACCGTGTGAAACCTTACTACATTACCATTACCATGATGCCTCCACCACACCACACACCCCAGATTTAAACTGCCCTTGAAATCAAAATGGGAGTTTCAGAGCTTTTTCTGCCTTCTCCTTAGTTTTATGGCCACCAATGCAATAATATATTTGGGGGAAAATAATACAAAAAAATAGTTTTGCAGGTATTCTTGTTTTAAATGTATATTTTATGTATAATAATAATAATATGTATAATAATAATAATATGTATTATTTTGATGACATATTTGTTTTGGTGGTGAGTCTTCCCACACATTATTTCCATTTCCAACCATTACTTGGTTGAGAAAAAATTGGTTAGAGTTTATTCATTTTGAAGATGGAGGAATTGGTACAAGGGCCAGGTTATGTCACTTCTCGGTGAAGTGTTTTACCAAATGGGACTCTTCAAATCTGCTGCTTCCTCAGACTGAGTGAGAACGCGATTCTATCTTCTAACACCATCAGGGCTTCTTCATCAGTAAGAGTAGGTAAAAGCCTCTCCTTAATTTCTTCGCTGTTGTCCATATTTAGCTACTAGGTTACTGTTTAGGTTTGGAGGAGGTGTGGCTAGTTGTTGGGTAAGCTAGTCAAGAATTTCGCAATGTTGCTCTGACTTCCTGGTTCAAAAGGAAATATGTCAACATAGAGAATCAAATCACAGCTAAGAAGCAATTTCATTGGGACTTGCCAAATACAGCTGCCAAATATAAAAAATATAATATATGAATATCATGTTCGCACACCAGTTGCTTTTTTCCTTCAAATCTTCAACAGTGTACAGTATGTTTCATTCAACTGGCAGCTCATCAATTTATAAAACAAAGGTCATAATAGTCTCTTAAGGATCGATGTCTGATATTGTTTCAATACACTCCTATTTGCATTGTGTTGTGTTACTGTAGCTATGTTTTTGTTTTGTTTTTTTTTGCTTATCTTGTACTTAGAAATGTATGACAAAATTTATTTGTTAGTGATAACTAATGAAAGATGAAATTTGACCTGGACACACTTTTGAAGTCTAATTCTCATCTGTAAAACTTGCAGCCTTGAGTTGGTGTGCAGTTGTTAAAGTGGGTCAGAGCATTGCAAAAACCCAAAGCTCTCCAAAGCTTTCTGCAGCTGTCGCCTCAATCCTGCAGTCCCCAGGCCCATTCTTCATTTTTAATGGTGTCTCTCGGACTGCAGGGTATGTTTTTTGTGGAAGTGTGTGTTTGGGCTACCCTGTGGATTTACAAGTTCTGACCTCAAGGATTTGTCATACCCTGCTCTCGGGCCTCACACCATGACCTTTCAGCTTCCGGATCATCTCTAGGCAGGTCGAATCAATCTTTGTTTACGTTGCACTCTGTGGAGAGAGACGGGGGAAAAAAGGTGTCTCGCATACACACGTTCTCACAGACACACATACACATGACACACATGGTCATACAAATAGGTAGAACCAAGAAGGTATGAGCTTATACAAACACACTTATGAGAGATATAGGTAGCCTACACATATTGGCACAGATGCACACACACACACACACACAAACTTAAAAAGTAATATAAATTTGCCCCAAAACTCTAAAAAATTAATAGGAATCCTGTCAAGTGAATGCATTTGTGTATGGATTTCATAAGTTGATTTCATAAATATGAGCAAATATGATTTGCAAGATATTTTGGGATAACCATAACATATTATTATAACATATTATTGGCAACCAGAATATTTTAGCAATAAAACCAGAGTGCTAAGTGAGCCAGATAGCTAACCTAGATAATGTTAGTAATGCAAATATAAACAAAACTGCGTTTGTTAGGGTATAATTTGATATTCCAGGGTACTGTTAAATAAATTGCTAAAAATATGACAATGCCATTTGGGACTCCGATAACTAAAACGCCACTCATGTAAAGCTGTGACAAAGTTAAGCTAGTTTACAAGAAGTTAACTAGCCAGCTACGGTATATATGCAGTAATGTTACCTTCCATAAAATATAATATAGTTGTACAGTACCAGTATTCAATGCCTTTTTTTGTAGGTCTTTTTGTAGTTTCTTGGGATAACAACATGTTAAACTATTTAATATCCAGCACATACTATTTGTAATGGATTAAAATTATTCATTCAGGGGGATATGTCCTTAACTTTTTCATACTGGTTGGCTTCTTGTGAAAAAAAAAAAATAAAGACCATGTATACAAGCAATCAACTGGCGGACTGCGGTCTAGATGCAGATTCAGCAAAATAAATCAGAAGATTAAACCGAGCACATGAAAAATACTGTAGCAGAACCGATCAATGTGTGGGAAACAACATGGTCATAACAACAACACGGTCATAGTTCATTAAGTTTTCTAAATATAAACCATTGCGGCTTCGGTAGCAGATTCTTTGTTGTGGTTTATCCAATCACATGCATTTATGCAAAGTATTTCGCTGAAGGCAACTCATCAAGAAAAGGAAGTGTTTCCACAGACTTGCGAAGATTAACTATCTCTGGTGTAATTAGTGAACTAATGATATGGCTTTTTTTTTTTTTAAAGTAGACAGTGAAAACAGAATGTTTAAAGATGATTAGCACAGAGAAGTACGCATTTATTCTCCACTTTAAGTGCAAAACAGATGTCTTACCTGAGTCGGATGAAGTACCACTGTGAAACAAAACGATCATTTTAAATGGATATGGATATGTCTTATTTATAGCCATGAACTAAACACTAATGGTCAAGCATTTAATGGCGAAAATGTATTTAGCTTAGTTTAGTTGAAAAGTCATAATATACACCATGTATATGATGTAAAGAATACTTTACTCTTGGTCTCATCCCGGGCTACATTTACTGTGACACTCTAGCCTTGACTGAACCTTAAATGAAGTTTCCCTGTCTGATAACTGTCATATAGCTGGCACTGCCGATGGATTGAATCTAAAATTTTAAATCAGTTCAGACAGGTTTGATCTTTACCATATTGGCTTGTTATTCCATTTCTGCCCTATAAGAAAGAATCCCACAGGGCTAATGCCCTTTTCCTGAAAGGTCATTCGTGCTGCACATTTTTTGATGGATTGAATGCTGAAAGATCTCTTCAAAAGAACTGGATTAAAATAGCAATTTAGGACATTGATTCCATGCAGGAGTGTTAGTTCCACATCAGGAGGCATCAACAGCTCTGAGCACCGTTTACTAATGTCTAATGTTGTTTGTTTATGCCCTAAGGAAAAGAACATGCTATTCACTGAAGTGTGCACAGGTATTTGTTCCAGTCCCCTACAAACACCACCTGACTTCACTAATAAGATCTCCTACTCAACCAAGAAGGGAGCTTATTTAGTGAAACTGGAGGTTGTGCTGCATTTTAGATTATGGGCTCCAGTAATCTGTCCACTACCAGAAACTGTTGATGTTTCATCATACATAAAAAGCTAAAGCAATTCATTTATTCAGTTATTTCTTAAATAAGAAGTGACATATTGATAAAATATGTGTATAGATGTGTTCTTGTTGACTGAAATCAGTAGCAATGACGCCATATAATGTATAGAGGACTAATATCCTCTGTGTATATATGTAGTAATTTCAGGTGCTGGCTATTAAGAGACAAGGAAGAAATAAAGAACTATGCTGTGTGTTACCACCCAAAGTGTTTTATTCCTCTTATAACACAGTATTTTACAATGACTCATTTTTTTATTCTTTATTAAAGAACATCAAGTTGTACATTTCATCCATTCATTGTTACATTCAGTGTTGTGGAAACAAATTAGTGAAGTTAGCAAATCCATGAAACAAATTAGTTCCTGTTATCACTTAGGTTATAGTAGCTCTAAACAGGCATTTAGCCTCTCCTTTTTCCTCTCTTGAAGTTACTAAGACAAAAATACAGCTTGTGCAGGGTCAGCCATTGTGATGACTTTCGCACTGCAGAAAACTTAATGTTACAGCTTTACCTCTGAGTGTTACAAAGCACTGATGCTGGAGACCCCTTCCATAAATGTTAAATAAACATTTCTTTACAGAAACTAAATAACAACAATACTAACATATTTATGTGGCCGAAAGAATGTGAACACCTGACTATCATACAAAAATGTGTTTCTTCCCCAAGCTATTGCCACAAAGTTGGACGCACACAACTGACATCAAATGACACCAATTAATGCTGTGTAGCAGGAGCATCTATGTTATCATTTAAATTAAACATATTAGAACAGTTCGGAAAAAGGGTCCCTGGAGGACTAGTGGTTGGGCCACAGCTCTCTCACTGCTACAGCCTGGGTTTGATTCCTGGCCAGAGAACCGACCCCAGCCACTGGGGGTTGCATGCAGCAGTGCGGTCTCGGTGCCGGTCCCAAGCCTGGATAAGAATTGAGGAGGGTTGCGTAGGAAGGGCATTCGGTATAAAAACTGTGCCAAATCAAATATGCAGACCAGTGATCTGCTGTGGTGACCCCTAATGGGAGCAGCTGAAAGAGGAACAACAAAAGAACAGTTAAAAAAAATGCAAAACCTGTCTGAAGAATATACAAATATATTGTATTTGAATTTTATACAAAGTCTTTTTTTTCCTAAATGCTAAGTGCTAAAAATTGCCTCAGCTTTAAAATAATGTCTGTCTGGACCTGTGAGATATGTACTGTAGCGCTGCATTCGACTTGCCTGGTCAGTGGTAATTCGCAGGTCAGAATGGCATCATTTTTACCTCTGCAAATTTAACATACAAAATAGAAAAAAGCACGGATGCATCCATGTTCATCTTTTGTTAGCAAACAAGCCAGCTAACTGTGAACAAGTCAGCTAACTGTGATGTGTATTGAACTGTATAGTATAGTCAATGTTTTAGATTTAACAAGCAAGTACGTCTGTATGTTGATTGATCTAAAGCAAATACTTGTATGTACAGTATAACTCATTTAAAGGTAAAAAAAAGTGCTACTTTGCTTGCTTCTGATGCTGTGAGTGGTCATGTTGATTTGATATCACTTCGTAAATGGAGAAGGAACTCGCAGTTGAGAAGGAACTCGCAGTTGAGAAGGAACTCGCAGTTGAGAAGGAACTCGTAGTTGAGAAGGAACTCGTAGTTGAGAAGGAACTCGCAGTTGAGAAGGACCTCGTAGTTGAGAAGGAACTCGCAGTTGAGAAGGAACTCGCAGTTGAGAAGGAACTCGCAGTTGAGAAGACTACCCCAAGTTGACGAGTAGGAATTTTAAGTTGAGGGGGTGTTCTCTTGGGATTTTACTGGTTGGAGGTTGGGAATTAAAAGTTGTGACCTCTGGATGAATGCAGTATAAGACTGGAACTGGGGACAGGTCCTGGAAGTTTAGTTAAAGAAGGAGTTAAAGAAAATCCAAAAAAAAGAAAAAAAAGATACCGTGATGTTTTCAAAGCTGTGTTATTGATAATCATACCTCTTTTTTTTCATACTTCCCCACCCCTAGTTGAGGCTTATCCTCATTTAGAGACATTGATATATTAAGAAACGCTAAATCACATGGGCCATTGAAACATTTCCTGCTTATATTATATAGCCATTGGGGGAATTTATAGAGCTGTTATCAAGAGTAATTTTTACATCGCGCTGCACATGTTCACCATTAGCAGAATAAAAATGAGAACAAACCGGTGAAGCAAATGAGGAAGATCTAAACAGCAGGAGGGCAAAAGAACATGAGGACTGTGGGTACAATCTAAATGGGAACATGAAAGTGAAATGCCTTACTCAATAAAATCCTCATTTAAGTGTATGTGCTTTCCCTCTCTGTCTAAAACACGCACACACACATGCACACAGTAGCCCTTAGGGGATACGTTTGCTATTATGTAGTGGTGTATCATGTGTTCATTTGTCTTCTTCCAGAGCTGAACATTACCACAATCTATCACTCACCGAGTAGCATATACTGTGGAATACACACAATATATCACACAATATAGATTCCACATAATCAACATCTGACACATAGCACTGCCTTTGTATACAATACACACACTCCATTTGGATTGCACGCAATAAAACAAATGATCCACTACATGGATTCCTATCATTGACAGATTAGGTTCTCTACATACACACACCTCATAGCACACAAATCAATCAGTCTACAAACACCAACAACGATTGGTATTCACTACACACAGTATATGAACCAGTGTCTAATGACATCATTCATCATTATGGATTGGACTGGACTGAAAACTTAATTTCTCACTAAGGCAAACTGCATGAATTTTCGCACTTTTTTAAATTTAGTCATAGTATTAGTCTTTGGACAAAAATGTCCTTTAAATTTCAGTCTTTTTCGCTCATGTCGTGTCTATTTAAGTCTCTAAAAGGAATACAGCTTTAGTTGTTGAAAAGAATTTATTAACAATTATTCTGCACATAGTAAAATAAAGCGTCTTTCTCTGTTTAATGTTTTCATCAAAGTGCAGCAAGCCTTATGACCTGTAATGTCACTCCGCACTCCATCAAAGTCCAGATTGTGGCCTAACACAATGGTCCATCTGTGCTTCATTCAAGAAGAAAAAATCATGCTGTTTTATTTCTCAACTTGCACAAAACAATCTGTTTTGAAGCAATCTGGAGCACAGGTCACAAAATGTAAAGTTGACGTTCCCAAAAAATGAACAGAAATACTTCTGTTTGCGGATCAAACAAAGTGCTAATCTCACAGAGGGATTTTATTTCATTCATTTATTCATCAGAGACTGCTTTATCCTTGTCAGGGTTGCGGTAGATCCGGAGTCTATCCCGGTAGCACTGGGCATGAGGTGGGAATACACCTTGGCTTGGAAACCAGTCCATCGCAGGGCACCATGCACACACATTCAGACATAACGGTGATTTACTGTAGCCAGTTCGCCTACCAGCATGTTTTTGAGAGGAAACTGGAGAACTGAGGGGAAATGCACACAGACAATAACTTGAGTTCAAGATAGAACATTAACCCTGGACCTGGGACACGGCAACGCTACCTAGTGCTTTTTAGTGCTTTGATCATCACGAATGTATTTTTTTGTTTATCATATCATATCATATGATCGTCTGACCTTCTGCCTGTTTCTGTGAGAAAACATGATGCAAAGCCTATTCTATTGTACAAATTCTATTGTACAAAGCAAATTCTATTGTACAAGTGTCTGAATGACTATTTCCATTTGACTTTTATTATTATTAGTAGTAGTGATGATAGTGGTAGTAGTAGTAGTAGTATCCAAGAAGAATGGAATATGAAATTATGTTACTGTGACTGTTTTGTAGTGGACTGAAACATTTCGCTGCTCTGCATGACCTCATCTTCGGGCTGCAGTTAAATTTGTTCAAGTGGAAAGTTCGCCAAATGGAGGCACTCAGCAGAAATGGTAAAGTCACGGATCACTGCTTAGCCTACAAGTTAGCACTGTTACCAGAACATCAGGTGGATCTCTGTCAGATAATAACTCAGCCTTAAGACAGTAGCTTTGTGTGGTGTGATTGATTAAAGTGCATGGATATTATCATTATAATTATTATTACGTAACTGCTTTATGATGGTCAGGGTGGCGGTGGATCTGGAGCCTATAACTAGAAAACACCGGGTGTGAAATAGGAATACAACCTAGACGGGATGCCAATCCAGCACAGGGCACGATTTTCACATTTACACACACACACACACCCACACCTCTTTATCTTTCCAGTTTCAGTGAGCCTGTGCCCACTGTAGCTTCAAATTTCCTGTTCTTGGCTGACAGGAATGGACCCCGATGTGGTCTTCTGCTATTGTGCCCTATCCGCCATGTTTGACCTGCTATGCATTCTCAGAGGGTTTCTGCTCAACATGGCTGTAGTGGTTATTTGAGTTACCATAGCCTTCCTGTCAGCTTGAACCAGTCTGGCCATTCTACCCTGGCATCTCTCATCAACAAGGTCTTTCTGCCTACATAAATACTCCTCAGTTATGTATGAAAATCTGGAGTTTCTGAAATATTCAGACTGACCGATCTGGCACCAACAACCATATCACGGTCAAAGTCAGATCAGATAGGCTGATTGGATAATTGCATGAGTGATAAGGTGGTACAATCTTTGGCTACTAGATGTGGAGTGGGGAGATAAAGCAGAGGGGCATGGGAAAAAGTTGACTATTTGCGTATATTGTGCTTTTACATTAGTCAGTATGAATACTGACTAAATACTTCATAACATGGGTTGTGCTACACATACTTCAATCGAACAGCTTAATCATGCTTCACGCCTTTGACTACCAAGTCAATACACCTTCAGTGAGAATTTAAGGCTGTTTTCCAAACAGCATATTATGCACTAAATACTACACTTAAATAGTAGTGACATCCCTGTTGTTCTGACATGCTACTTATAACAGTAGTGTGCAGTTTGGGATGCAACCCAAATATCGATAACTGAGAATATAAATAAATAGTGTGCTCTTATTATGGTATTACCTGGTACCCTTTGGCTGTGAGGCAGCAACATTACCCACTGCGCCACCATGCTTTCCAGCTAAAACACACAAAAAAGAAGTCAGAAATTTAATCAGTGAATAAAATACACATACCTGTGGCAATATAATAGAGAGAAGTACAAAAATACACCATACATACTATAACTAGTCATTTACTAGCAAACTGTCATTATTTCCTTAGATAAAACAGCTTTGCATATGGGTAGCAAGACAGAATCCATAACAAGAATAAATAAGATGAGTATATGATACACAATACGGCTAAAAGTTTGTGGACACCTGACCATCACACCCACTTATGGTTCTTCCTCAAACTGTTGCTACAAAGTTGGAAGCGCACCATTGTCTAGAATGTCTTTGTATGCTGTAGCATTACAATTTCCATTCACAGGAACTAAGAGGCCCAAACCTGTTCGAGCATGACAATGCCCTTCTGCACAAAGTGAGCTCCATGAAGATATGGTTAGTCAAGGTTGGAATGGAAGAACTCGAGTGGCCTACACAGATCCCTGACCTCAACCACACTGAACACCTTTGGGATGAATTGGTACAGAGACTACACCAAAGGTCTTCTCGCCCAACATCAGTGTCTGACTTCATTAATGCTCTTGTGGCTGAATGAGCACAAATCCCCACAAGCAAACTCTAGTGGAAAGCATTTCCGGAAGAGTGGAGGTTATTTTAACAGCACAGGAGGGACTAAATCTGGAATGGGATGTTCAAAAGCACATATGGGTGTGATGTTCAGGTGTCAACAAATTAATTTGCCATATACATGTAGCGTATACAGAATTATTCACTATTCTCTCACCATCATGCCTAAATTCATTTTCC